GGAGAGAGGGCAGAATTTGAAGCAAAGCAAATAAATAAATAAATAGAGAGTATTGCAGAAGTCCAACTTTGAGATTACCAGTGCATGCACTACCATCTTCAGGTCCTCCAAATCTAGGAAGCGGTACAACTGATGGATCAGTCAAAGCTGATAGTAAGCACTTCTTACCATTGCATCTACTCGGGCTGACATTTGGAGAGAAGGATACAGGAGTACTCTCAAGTTGCAAACAAAGTCTTTCAGGGGGAGCGTAACCTCATCCAGAACTGACTGATACACCTCCATCCCCAGATTAGGACCCTTGTTGGCAACCCCTCTGTTTTGCCTGGATTCAGTTTCAGTTTGTTTTTCCTCAGCCCATTACCTCCTCCAGTCATTTATTCAGACAGGACACGCTTTCCTTAGCTGAAGCTGTTTTTGAAGTCATGGAGAAATATATTTAGGTGTCATAAGCATACTGATAACACTCCACCCCAATTATTTCACACCTCAGTTTTCTTTTCACCAGGCTGAACAACCCAAGCTCTTTAAAGCTTTTCTCATGTTTTATTTTCTATGCCTTTTATCATCCTTGTTGCTCTGGTCTGAACCCGCTCCAAGCTGTCTCTATCCTTTTTGAAATGAAGTGCCCAGAACTAAATTCAGGAATCTAAGTGAGGCTTCATCAGCTTAGAATATAGTGGGACTATAATAGTATTGATTTAAAAAGCAACAACATCTAAAGTGACTTGCAGATTGGGGCTGGATCTACACTGCTAAAGAATGCAGTTTCAGGATGCAGTTTATCTTCATTGAATGGATCTACAATGTCATATAATGCAGTTCGGTGCAGTTAAACTGCACTCTGAAATTGCATTATATGGCAATGTAGATGGGGCTTGAGTTTGCTTGAAGTCCAGTGCAATCCTGTAAGGCAGCCCCGTTTTAAATAGCAGTATGGAAAATGAGTCGAACACTAATTCACATACGTGGAATGAAGACAATAAAGGGAGTGAAGAGAAAACATCCTTAACAGCTTGCTTATTCCCAAGCGTGATCCTCAGTCTTCCAAAAATGGAAGTCATGGGATTTAAATAGCAATGATAACTAGGGCTGGAAAGTGACAAATGAGGCTCAGTGTAATGCAATTTGCTGCTTGCTTGCCTTCTCACTGAAACTCTTCATTTTCCAAAAGGGTGGAGGTTACAGGAAAATTAAACACCTTGTTTTGGCACATAAGGAGACGGATTGGGACCGGTGAAACAGTCCTTCTCAAGTTGGTATACAGGTAAAACAACTTCTGTTTCCCAGCATAAGGACAGGAGACAATCCTGCAACAGCCCTCTTACTTCACAGTGGCTTAGGTTAATTGGCAGAGCCTCTTGGGGAATATAATTAACTTGCTCTGGATTTGAAAGCTTGCAGCATAATTAGGGCACAGAGAGACTTGTTTTGAGCTGCAGTTTACTCTGTAATAGAAGCCTAAACAATAGCAAGAAAACACAACTGGAGTTCAGACATCTGAAACATCTCACTGAGTTAGAGCCAGAACTCATACGCAATTATTGAGTGCTAGTGTTTACGTCATATGGCTGAACTGGTTGGTTTCAAACCAGGATCTTTACAGGACAAACGCAAATACACACACAGACAAAACCCATTCAGAGCAAAAAATGTGATAATACACGGGAAGTTGAAATTGTGTGAGATAAGCCTATGATATACATAAACAATTATTTACTAGGCACCTGAGGACAATTTGCCATATTGTAGGTAGTCTGTATATGTCCATTGTCAGTCTCCAATTGCTGTATAATTTAGTATGGTAAGCCCCAATCTCTCTTTTGCCTGTTGCTGTATTTTTCTGCTATTTTAAAAGTTTTAAAAAATATCCAGACCACATTTCTGTTGTCCCAGAATTTTTTTTTGGGGGGGGGGGCAATTCTCTGTACCACCAGCAACATTTATACCTACTTGTAGGTATATTTGCTCCTTTCTTTGCCCCTCTTAGAGTTATAGTGCATCAGTGGATCAGTGAAACTGCACTTTTACACTAGAGCTCTGTAACTCTGTTTTTGAAAAATATCAGAGGTGAAAATTTGTCCTTCAAACCATAGGACCACCTTAGCAAACAATACCCAGTTTTTGTTTTAAGAAAGCTTTTGATGGATCCTTAACGTAGAACCAAGAAATTGCTCCATACACCTCTAAAAGGATTATCCCTATTTTAGAGATGAAATGGAAAAAGTGGATATGCTTTGATTGCCATGGTGGCACAACGGGTTAAACTGTTGAACTGTTGAATCTGCTGACCTAACGGTTGGCAGTTCAAAGCCATGGGTTGAGGTGAGCACTCACTGTTAGCCCTAACTCCTACAAACCTAATAGTTCAAAAACATGCAAATGTGAGTGGATTAATAGGTACTGCTTCGACGGGAAGGTAATAAAGGCACCCATGCAGCTATGCCAGCAAACACAACCAGGAGGTGTCTACAGACAACAGGTCCTCGGTTTGGAAATGGAACAAGAACACCTCTCCATGGCCAGAGTTAAGTACCACCTCCAGAAAGCTGGAGATGAAAGGGGAAGTCTTTGCCCTTGTTCTGTGTATTTGTATGTCATTGTTATTCCACTGTATTAAAAGCATTGAATGTTTGTCTATCTGTGTATGTTGTAATCTGCTCTGAGTCCTCTCGGGGAGATAGAGCGGAATATAAATAAAATGTTGTTGTGGTGGTTGTTGTTGCAGTTGTGATGCAAAAGTCAGTTGACATAGAAGTCAAGGGAGTTCAAATATAAAAGCAAGTAAAGAAAGTCTTTATTAGAATGAAGTTTCACAAACAACTGAAATCTCTCTTTTTCACAATGGCTACCATAAGGAAAGCATCTCCGAGAGATAATTGTGCAGTGGCTCTTAATGCAGTCTACAAACTGATGATACCTGAATCTGACAGATCTCCATTATTAGCAAGGGTCTAATAATAATAATAATAATAATAATAATAATAATAATAATAATAATAATCTGTCATATCATTGTATTATTATTTAAGTTTCTGTATTGTCAAAGGCTTTCATGGCCGGAATCACTGGGTTGTTGTAGGTTTTTTCGGGCTATATGGCCATATTGTAGAGGCATTCTAGAACATTTACGTTTCTATTCTGCCTTCTTGGAACACAAGGTATGAAATGTTCCCAGAATTCACCTGGGCATTGGCCACAAACCTCTTTCGCTTCTACAAATTTCCGGTGTCCATATTCCTCTATTAACACTACAAGTTTAAGGGGTGTCCTACAAATCATGCAAATACTATATTATACTATCATAACATTCTTAAGAATGGTAGTTTATACTGCAGGTGTAGAGAGTATTTCCAAATATTGCTCCACATAAAGTGTAATTTGGATTTACTTTATTCAGACCCACTAACAGGAAGCCACCCATCTCATGAGCTTGATTCAGATAATATTTGATATGATGAACAAAGTCCTGCATAGTTCCTGTTCTCCAAACACTCGGGATGTAAGAACAAGAAATCATGCTAAGAAATATTCTTTTCTTCTAAGTCGTTTTCTGTTGGTTTTCAGAGTTTGTACATTCGTTAAGCTAACTGCTTCCTTGTTGCAAGGACATTTTCATTATGACGTCATTTGGATCTGTCAGACAGTTCTCTGTTTGGCGTACAGCTCTGTTTTGTTTCAGAAAGGGAACAGGCACACAGATTTCAGAGATTTTTGTGTAAATTGCAGAAAAATCAAAAGAAAAACAAGCATTCACTGTCTCAATCATGCTGCAGGTGAAAATCTTGTAGGGGTTAATGAATTCTTAAAAGGCTGTCTCAGAATGTCAAGACAGCTTGCCTTGTTAAAAATTAATACTTGTGCATATCCTTTTGCATACAAGATGAAAAGAGTGAAAGCTTCTATGTTTATTTTTTGTTTTATAACAGCTTACTGTTATCTCTAAACTCTGGTCCAAATTACCTGTCCAAATGTATCTCCCTTATGAGCCAACTAGAGCTTTAAGATCTGCTGGGGAGGCCCTGCTCTCGGTCCAACCCCCTTCACATGCGCGATGGGTGGGAACGAGAGGCAGGGCTTTCTCAGTAGCAGCCCATCAGCTATGGAACTCCCTCCCCAGCGACATCAGGCAGGCCCCATCCCTTCCAGTCTTCAGAAAAAAGCTGAAGACCTGGTTTTGTACACAGGTATTTGGAGAAAAACATTATGGATTTTGACACAGGTGAATAAGGATTATGGATGAATGGAATCAAGCACTTCATATGTTTTAATCAGTTTTTATTGTTATTTGAGTTTATTTGCTCATGTGTTCTAATTGTTTTATAGTTGATGAGATATGTTTTTATTGCTATATTCACATGCAGCATTGAATTTTGCCAGAGTCTGTAAGCCACCTTGAGTCCCCTGCAGGGTGAGAAAGTTGGGGTATCAATCAAGTAAATAATAAATAAATCAAATTGGAGCTATGATTTAACACTAGCTCTAACCCAAAGTACTGAGTTGTATTGAACTGAGTTCTCCTTGAGCTTATATTTAAAACTTGACTCAAATGTAAAAAATCTCTTTTTATATGAAAAATACATAAACCTTTGGCAAACATCTTTTCAAACACAAAAATTATTGTTTTAGTTCAAATCATCGCACATATTTGATGGAATTCTGATAGAATAGTTGAATTGGCAAACAATAGTATGATGTAATGCATGAACTGATAAACCAACACAGCCACAGGTCCATCTCCAAAATTTACTGCATTGATAAAGTAGTAATGAATTATGAGGCTGAACACAAAGGAAACAAAAAAAGAAGCAATGGCTAAAGTGTGGTTTTCTTGCTTGCATATGTGGAAGGACAAAGTATGGTTTGTTTGAAAGTTTGCAATGGGATATGATCCTTTTCAAAGAGAAAACCATTTTTGTTTGTCATAAGAAATCTAACATAACTTTACGCCTAATGTGTTTTTCTCTCTTCTTTATTTTGTTCTCTTTTTCCTCTTGCAGTTCCCGACTTTGCTCAACGGCCACATCCCAATGCAAATTCCCAGCTTGGATCGGGCCTCTTCTCCAGTCCTCCTCTCTCCAAATGCTCATAAATCCTGATATCTCAGCAAATGAAGGACTCACTAACAAACTGGATTATTACACAGCCATTCTGATGAGTTTCATTTTTCTGGCGATGCCAGGAGGACATGATGAAACCCTTCCTTTTTTACTATGGTTTGCACTTTTCATTACATGGATGATCTACTTGTATGATGTTTATTTAGCATTTTTAAACAGCGTTTTTTAGAAGAATTCTGTTGTGCATTAAAATGAGTTATAATTTTTTATATTCTTGCTCTCTTAAGTGTTGAACACTGTTTCTTACTGAAGTACCTTTCTTCGTAGATTTCAAAACAATATCTAAAGGATGTGAAACTTTTTAATCTTGTATTTCTGCATATTATGCATCATGCTTATGTGTAAACTATAACCGGCTGTGCCTTCTTTTGCATAATGTTATATAAATGATTTATATTTTTCCAGTATTAAGATGAAAGTTGAAAAGGACCCAACAACTCCCTTTGCTAGTATTTCAGTATTTCCCTTGCAGTAGGCCATATGGTGCCTTGTATTAATGTAATTTTGAATTAAGTGCTTTTCCATTATATAAAGATTCCTAATTCCATGATGAATTGAGAGGCCATAATGAATGTTTTGGCCAGTAAGTGTGTTTAAGACTAGAACACTATTTAGATCTAGGTGCTTGAATTCTTCTCTGAGTTAAGAGGAAAATGGCTTTAAAATATTTATAACATATTTTAAGGGCATTAGAGGATATAACCTTACTCAGTTCCATTCGTTTTCATTTCATTTCTTGGTCAGGTTGTTAGAAGAGATATACTGATCATGGTTTACTTCATTGTACAGGTAAAGTTTCAATGAGCTTTGTGATTCGGACAGGAGCACATGCGGTTCCACTTTTGCAGTGCGAAAACATTTGTGTTGGGGATGCTTTGAATGCGATTTTTCTGCTTCTTGGCAGCGGGTTGGAATGGATGGCCCACAAGGTCTCTTCCAACTCTAGGATTCTATGTGTGGTTTAAAAAAATAGACACCATGTAGAACTTGATTTAACAACAAACAAACAAAACCTAGATTTCTGAAGGCAGGCGGAATAAGCTTGCCACTTTCTAGAATGCCATGAACTGATTTCCTAAAAGTGAAACACAAATGTAGGATGATATAAGTGCAAGTGGTTTCATGTTCCTCACCAGTAACTTGAATGAAATCCTATCTCATATGTATTTTATGAACTTCTTGTAACTAAATACAGAAAACATTGAAGTATTCCGACTTGTGCCATTTTCTCACTGTTAACTGAAGAATGGATGTAAACTTCGATGGGCTACTGCATGTACAATGTAATGAAATTTGGCTTGAAAAAAGCTGGTTCTGTTGACCTGGAAAAATCTAGAGACTCTTATCACTGTTATGATCGCTGAAGTGATGAATGTTTGGTCTTCTCGGCTGTAAAATTGAAACCTCTGTGGGTATTGATGCTCTTGTTTTGAATGAAACTGCAAAACATCATTTATTCTCACTGTACTTTCCTTGCTTGAAGTCGTGAAGTCTACTCTCCTTGTTGGAACATTTGTCATTTGAAGGAGTTGATTTTTCTCTACTCTAGCTTTTGTGGTATTGTACAGTCTGCCTTACATGTTTGTGGGTTTAACTTTGTGAAATTCATTAAAACGTTTTCGCTAGGAATCTCTGTGTCCTCTCTAGGTCCTTCAGTGACATTGGAAGTTGACATAGAGTCACACTGAAAGACCTAGACATTCATAGAATCATAGAGTTTTGTTTTTTTGTCATGTCAGGAGCAAGTTGCTTCTGGTGTGAGAGAATAGGCCGTCTGCAAGGACGTTGCCCAGGGGACGCCTGGATGATTTGATGTTTTTATCATCCTTGTAGGAGGCTTCTCTCATGTCCCCACATGAAGAGCTGGAGCTGATAGAGGGAGCTCATCCGCCTCTCCCTGGATTTGAACCTGCGACCTGTCAGTCTTCAGTCCTGCCAGCACAGGGGTTGAACCCACTGCGCCAGCAGGGGCTCCATAGAGTTGAAAGAGACCTCATTGGCCATCCAGTCCAACCCCCTGCCGACAAGCAGGAAAATCACATTCAAAGCACCCCTGGACGAGTGTTCAGTTTTTCAATTTCATGGGGGCCCCATGCTCCTAATCCCAGTGAATGTGGGGGTCTGGCTGTATAAGCGTATAACAATTACCTGCTAGCATATGTTCAGCACCCTCTTTCAGCCTTGCAGAATGCTTCAATTCAAAGATATCAGTTCATGTACCTGAAAAAACACTCACTACTTGAATATATTCCCTTCTCCTTCATACATAGAATTCTACTGACATATTACTGGGAGTATTTGGAAAGTATATATTTTTCCATCTTGATCCAGATTGTCGTTTTCCTTCCCAATGTATTTTAAATTGTAGTCCTACATTTATTTTCATACAGTGGAGTCATATTCTTCAATCTATAATGGAACCAAAAATGCTGTTACAAACATGGAATACATAAAGTTGTTAAAACAGCCATCTAGTTGTTATAATATGCTTAAATTAATGAGGTAGCATTGAACTTCGTAAAGGACCAAACAAAAGGATCTCTGTAAAAATAAAGACCAAACATAAAATCCATCCTTTTCTGCCTCTGGTTTTTTAAATCGAGAACTATCTTAAGCCTTGGCAATATCAGCAGTAAATTAGCTGCTTGCTGCACAGCCTTTAACATACTAGGAATTGTACTGGTATGAATGGTCTATAGAGCTTAATCTTTCCAAAAAGGAAAAACTGTAGATCAGTTATTCTAAAGCTCTGGGAATTGTATATGGAATAGTTTGTAAATAAATGAATGGATCACATGAGCTATGCATTTATGTACATTAAAAATCAACTATAGATAGAAAGCTAAACACAACGAAACACTGTGCATCAAAAACTCTTGTGAAAAGATGGTCCTTAGACTGATTTCTGAAAGAAATGTCACAAATGATAAACGCAAGGCTTCATTCTTCAGTTTAAATATGTGTACATCAAATAGTGTATGGAATTTGGTGAGGTTCCTTCCCATTCAAATCATCTGGGCTATTTCTTTTAAGTATTAACTATAACCCAATTCCTTTTGTACAACCCACCAAGGCTTACTAAAATGTGTTTATTTCTAAACATACATCTGTACATTAATACTATCATCAGCATTATCATGTAAACTTTGTAAAGGTCAGGAAACATGCCTAATAACTCAGAGCCATCCTTACTCTCTCATTGTCTTTCTTCTAATACTAACCCAGTGGTTGTCAACCTGTGGGTCCCCAAGTGTTTTGGTCTACAACTCCCAGAAATCCCAGCCAGTTTACCAACTGTTAGGATTTCTGGGAACTGAAGACCAAAACATCTGGGGACCACGGGTTGAGAACCATTGTACTAACCAGATGAAGTCCTGCTTAGTTTATTGACCTGCATAAATGTTTGGTTGCTCTTAAAGGCTACACCTCACCTTCTTATCTTCTAAAGCTCATGATTATTGTACTGAACTAGAGAGCTCAGAGAACTCACTTTTTGGTGTCCTACAATTTTTTGGTCTAAAGTGTCACTGGGTGAAGGGATATATACTAACTCATTAGTATCACATTTTCTTTACCCAATCTTACAGTAAAATGTTAAAAGATGGCATATGAACAGATACAGAGCTTCAGACAAGGTCTACCACAATGATGCGTACGGGAAAACTGCCAGAGTGAAAAGTTGAGAGAGATTTCATTATGTGGCAAGTGGTCTCATTCAAGACTAAATTGCTACTTGTGGAGCAGAAATTCCTAACAAGTAGTTGTACCACTTGGTAATACACTGCTATTGTCTTTCCATGTGCACCATGTGACTGAGAATAAAGGCGCAGTTTTCTCAACATGCACTTCTTGAGTGAAATATCAAACTACACCAAAAGGCTGTGATTATTGCTTGATTGTGTAAAGATCAGGTTTCCTAGGGCTGGAGAGAAACAGGGCGTGGAAATTACTTTTTGGATTACAGGTCCCAGATTCCCAAGCTACTAAAATCAGGGGATCCTATAGTTGACCAAATACACAACTTTCCCAACTTTTGAGATAGACTGTGAAAGGAAACACGAGGAAGAGACGCAAAGACATACTTCTGTATAGGAATGTGAATGTAATATAACATTCATTGTTGAGACTGTTTTAAAATAAAAAGCTGGAGTTCATCCTCTCTCAGAGTATTCAACTTCATGCTGAAACATGAAAGAAAAGAAAGTAACAAAAGTGAATTGCATGTAAGTTGATGATGCTTTCCACTATTCCAAACTGCAGTTGTTTTCCTGCTGGAAAATGGTGCAAAATAAGCATTTATTGATTACAATATTTTAAGAATCTTAATGAATTAAAATATCTATCTGAGCACATGTTAACATATACTGTGGGTAAAAAAAAAGTCAAAGATATGGGGGGGAGGGGAATGTTTATAGTTACAAGTTCCATTTCTTGGATCTTTAAAGGCATCCTTGTAGTTAGTTTGGATTGAGCAAAGCATTAACAGGCCAAAATATTCATTCAACAATATTTCTTCTCCAGGACATAGATTCTCTAAATCTGAGAAGTTCTGTGGTTTATTTTAATTGGTTATTTTAATTCACTCTTTGCATTTGTAAACATTGGAATTATCTTCAAGTTATTTACTTAACCTACCTCACAGGGCTGTTGTGAGGATCAGTGATATTTGTACAATGCTTTAGAAAAAAATAAAAAAAAATTACATACACATATGGCAAGTGGAATTATTGAAAGGCAAAACAGTTTCAGCTCCATTATTGCTTATAGAGCAAAATTCCTTGATAAGGTGTTGCAATAGTTGGTAACATCTTTAAAATGTTATGTGTAATAACCATTATCTCATCCCCCACCCCCTTCTACTGACTATAAAACTGTGTTTCTCAACCTGGAGGTCAGAACCACTGGGGGGTTGTGAGGGGGGTTTCAGAGGGGTCACCAAAGACCATTAGAAAACCCCTTTGGCACAGAAAACTGAAGATCCCTCTGCCTGTCCTTCTTTTCCTTTTTGGAAACAGATGGCAAATCCTCCCACCAAAAACCCTCCTCCTGTTGCAACTGGCCAGCCTCTCAGCCAAAGGGAGGGCTGTTTCTGAGACTCCAAGTGGGGAGGGGAGAGCAAGCGTGCTCGGCTCATGGCAGCATGGTGCGCATGCAAGGGCAAGGGAGAGCATGCGAGCCTGGAGGGAGGTTCATACCAACGAGTCCTGTCAAGGCAGGGGGAAAAGCACCTGCATGACTTGGGACGGAGAGTGGGCCAGTAGCATGAGCAGGAGCAGCAGCAGCAGAAGCAGCTTAGGTAATTTGTAACACATTGTTTTAGAAAAAAGTATTTTTGCTTTTATTAGTGCTCCCATTCAAAAATGCATAAGGATATGGGTGAACTTCAACTCCCAAAATCATGGATCACTTCTCCCCAAACCCCACCAGTATTCTCAGTTGGCCATGTTGGGTCGGTGTGCCCAGTTTTGTCCAGATCCATCGTAAGCTGGGTTCAGTGCTCTTTGGATGTGCGTGAACTATAACTCCCATATGCCAATTTTATTTCTGGGGTCACCACAACATGAGGAACTGTATTAAGGGGTCGCGGCATTAGGAAAGTTGAGAACCACTGCTGTAAAGGTTTTTGTTTTTGTCATTAGAAATTCCAGTCAGAATTGCATTTTGGGATTACACAGCAGAGAGGACTACACATCAAGCTATATTTTGTTGACTCTGCTCTCTGCAAATGATGGTTTGTTCCAATATTGAAATATGATGCCCTCCCTTGTCCTATTCTTTTCTTCTTTCTCTGCCTTCTTCAATAATAAGATTTTATTTGAGAAATTGTAGCGAATGAGTCATCTGACATTTTATTATCAGAATAATGAAGGTTTGGATTTTGATTACGTTCAAGGTTAAGGCTAGAGTATGATGAGTATTTTGTGTACTTCCTGACTCCAGTGAGAATCTGTGTTCCTTGGAATGGGGTGAACCTACTCACAACTCCAGCATGTCACGTTGTGGTTTGGTTAAAAACAGCATGCTTTCTGGTGGAGGGGGTAAACAATACAGACTAAAGTACTCCAATGACAAAAAAATTACAGATTAGTTTGAGAAATGTTTGGTCCCGTCAGCTTTTTGTTTGTAAAATTCTAAACCTGGCAAATAGCTACTATTCAGAGAAAATGTTTGTAATTGTTCAGGTGACAATGTTCCACAATGCCTGTATAATTCTTCAAGGAATTCTACAAGGAAAAAATGCAGGCTGACATCCTGTCTTGTATTTACAGACCTAGAGTTATTGATCTGTAACTGTGCTATTTTATAATATGTAGTTACAATCGTAGCAATAGTGCCACAATCTTATACGCCCCCTTCAATTCTACCATAGCAGTCAACAGCTGTACTGAGCAATGGAAGGCTGTCCTGTTACTATTGGAGTGTAGCAGACTGATGTTAACCAGTCTCTTCGGACCAGTAAGTGTGGTTGCAACTAGGGATTGTGGCAAGGGGCCTGCTTCTGATTGTCGCAGCCTTTCTCATAAAATTGGAAGGGACAGCATGGGTCTTCCAGTCCAGCCCCATTCTGCTCTGCAAGAAACCCAATCAAAGCACTCCCAAAAGATGGCCATCCAGACTCTGCTTTAAAATGTCCAGAGAATGAGACTCCACCACAATCTGAGGCAACATATTCCACTGCCAAATTGCTCTTACTGCCAGGAAGTTCTTCCTAATAGTTTCTCACTGGAAACATCATTCTGCTGTGTCTGATCAACAGCAGAATAGATCTCCTATGCTGATTGTGGCCAATGGTTCTTAAGGTAAGTGGGGGAGTCAGGCAAGGTGATACCATGTAGTTACGTATTCAGTAGGATCTCACCTGCAGTTTTTTTAGTGGATATGCACAAATTTGTCAAACCATACTTTACTGGATGAGACATCTGAATCAGGGTAAGGGCCCTACAAACCTAGGTTGTACATGTATGTCCAAACTAACAAACCATAGTCTAAATCAGGTCTATCAGTCCTTTAAAGTAGGTCTTCTTAAACTTTTCTACTTGTGACTCATTTCTGTCCAAGGAATTTTTCTGTGACCTCAGGTATTTAAAATAGGTGTAAAAATCAAATGTTTAATAATAACAAATTGACACTTGCTGATTTTTCTTTTATGAAGTATGGTTCTGGCCCAGCTTACCTGTCCAAATGTGTCTCCCTCTATGTATCATCTAGGAGGCTAAGATTGTCTGGGGAGGCCCTGCACTCGGTCCCACCTCGTTCACAAGTGCGACTGGTGAGGACGAGAGACAGGGCCTTCTCAGTGGTGGCCCCTCATCGGTGGAACTCCCTCCCGAAATTAGATCAGTGCCCTCCCTTTTGGTATTCAGAAAGAAAGTAAATACATAGATGTGGGACCAAGCCTTTGGGCAGTAAGCAATGCAAAAAACATTGAAGATTATATGCGATTGACACTTGGAAAGGCCTCAGGCTTCGGCTTCTAGGTTATACGATTTTAATGTTTTATATCAATATGTTTTAAGTCCATGTTTAAATGTCTAGATGTTATTGTTTCTCTATTTAATATGGTTTAATTTAATTTATAGTTATATGTTACAGTTGCTTTTATACTAGGTTTTTAACATGTTGTAAGGCATTGAATTTTTGCCATGAATTTGTTGCCAAATTTTGGGATCCCAACACTGAGCATTTGGGGTCTTTGGGACCCACAGTTGAAGAAGCAGTGCTATAAAGAAAGCTCAAAACAGTAATCCTTGTTAGAGCTGATCACCAAATGCAAGCTAGTTGCTGCACAAAAAGACTTCACTACTTTACTCAGAGCTATGAGAAGTATGGCAGTTATAAAATGTCCAAACACAAATGAGGATTTCCATAATATTTATACTTTCAAAAGTACAATATTAATACAGGTCCATCAGTTAGAAATAACAGCAGTTTGTTAGCTCTATGGGGCCTCTTTCAAGGTAAAACAAGCTCACAAATGCTGAAAAGCAGCAGTGGTCCAAATGTCACCATTACACACTAATTTATCATCTCTTTCAGAAAATAAAAAAGTTCCCAAATTCAACTTACTAGTATTCATGAAATATTAATAAAACATCCCCAAACATGCCACAGTCACTATTCACAAATAAAGTTAAAGAAACATACATTTTTTCCACTTAATACTGTTAAATAACAATAATAAAAACTACAAGATTTCCTGAACAGAAATGGTAGGACCCCTGAATGTTTTAACAGTGAACATCAGGAAAAAAATTAAGTTATCTATGACTATTTTTCATGATATATCAGCCAAAGATTTACATAACCATTTCAAAATATACCAATAAAGATTTACAGCCTCTTGAAGATGCACTAAACAAATAGTTTCAAGAAAGGTAAACACAATTGCTGAAAAATACTGTTACTATCACCAGGAGGTACTTATGATACTGAGATGCATAAGCGTAGTAACATGTTGCCTAGCTCCAATAAACAGATAACATCGAAGATCTTTAAAGCCCTCCAACTTCTCATGCTCCACAAAGCCTGAAGCACATGAATGATGTCATCTTTCACTGCAGACTTGCATTCTTCCACTGGGTTTGCAATGAATATGTCATCACAGAACAAGCCATGAACAGCATTGGGATGGAAACCGAGGACTTGCTGCTCCTATACTTTTTATCTTTAGTCACTGAGCACATCAAGAAAACACACCGTGTCTCCAAAACAACTCAGAAGAAAATGTATACAAAATGTTGGATTTTTAAAAAAAACAGATAGTAGATTAGAAAAAAGGGTACACGGGGAATGTGGCCACATTAGGAGTCACATGCATGCATTTCTTCCAAGAGAGCGAAGCCTGTTAAATGTATATAAGCCAATCCTCAATATCATGGGACCCTGATTGCTTGTGATGGAGAATGCATTTTTCACCTGTCAGAATCTGGACTAAGTGCTTTAAAAAAGGTATTTCAGTAATATTTTCATTACTTTACATCTATCGTTAAATAAGAAGTTTATGGGCCAAGAACGTAAAGTGTGTTAAAGACAATTTTACCTATTTAACAGTCAAGAAAGCTATTTTTTTCTTACATTCCAAGAAACATTGCAGTTTAAAAAAAATAAGAAGATATAAAACTGCAGCAATAATTCATGAAGAGAAACAGGCATTCACATATTATATAAAGCCACTGCAACTTTTGCAGGCATTCAATTGTTTTGTTAACTATACAGACAGTAGTTATTTAGCAGCAATGATTCCGCAATAAATAATGCACTGTGTTTCTCAGTCCTGCACAAAAATTGCAGCTACTGTTAACATTAACCGTTGTAACCTACTGGCTCTAATGGCAGAGGAGACCTTAAAATCGACTGTACAAAAATTTGTCACACTGTGACAACAAATATAAAAACGTAACCAGCAGGTCTGAAATAAAAAGACTGCACTGTGAGGAGGACAGTGTAGACAAACAGATTTCAAGTCCACCAAAGGAGGGAATTGCCTTCCGAATACAGTCCTTGATGGATGAAAGCCAACCTTGGGCTTGAAGCTGTATTGCCAGGCTTCAGAAAAGCATGCTTTGCCGTCTGTTCTTCCCATGTCCTAAAGACATAAAACACAAGTTGGGTTAAGGAAGCACATAGCCCACTTTTGTTCATACAGTGCAATAAACAAGGTGACTAAAGCAACGTGTCTTAACCTGGGGGTTGGGACCGCTGGGTGATTGTG